GCTGACCCTGGATTAATGGAAAGAGCTTTTCCTGTCGCTCTTGGTGTTTCAAAGCAAGTGTTGCTGGTTTGCTGATTGCATTTCACTTCCAGACCTATCTATGATTTGGAAGTATTTGTATTTCTTTTTCTTACCTGTATATCACCTGCAGTGGCTTCTCTGTTAACATCATAACGCACAACAAAATCTCCATTGAGGAGAGTTTCACTGAGTTCAGGATTTGCCTTCTGTTGATCTACTGTTGGCTTGAATAAAATATGAGCCTGCAAAGCAATCAGAAGAAAAGATTTAAAGCAGTATAACTTAGAGCTGCCACTAGCAGTAACATCTGGCAGCTGCTGCTTTACCTTGGTTTTGCTCTGCACTTTTGTGAGTGCCTCTGTCAATTCGTTTGTCATGAACGTGCTGTGTGTCTCCAAGAAGCGAATGCCTTGGGGCTCAAAGATGTGCACATCGATCTGACAGCAGAGAAGACAAGATCAGCATCTCAGAGGGAGCACAGCCCTGCCCCGAACCCACAGCACTGCTCCCTGCCCAGCTCTCTGGGACAGCTTACCTGGAAGTGCTTAACCAGCTGCTTGGGCCGGACCTTGGTCAGCAGCTCATAGTTCCCCAGCTGCCGCTTCAGCATCTCCTCATATGTCAGCTCAAAAGTCACTTTGCTGGAGGCTGCGATGCGCACGGACACATGGAACTGCTCCAGTTTTCTGTCTGAGATTCTGGAGGGGGGAACAGGGATTTATCTCCTGCAGAGAAGGTTTCCTTGTGGTGGCCAAAGTTCATGAAGTAATGGCCAAGTGACCATAGGGGATAAATATAAAAAGAGTAGCAATAAGTCTTGTTCAACATAGAGAAGAATTTTTACATTGCTGGTGCTGTTATGTAGAACACATATATTGCATTAGTGTGCCACGGGTGCAAGCTGAGGAATGGGGCAGAAACCCCTGCATGCCTCAGGCTGGGATCAAACAGAACTGAGACTGAACACCTGAGAAGCACAGATTAAATATACCACAGAAGTGTGATGTCTGCTCAAGTGCCATGGCCCTCTGTGCTTGTGGGGAAGCAGACTCAACACTGAGCATCAGCCCAGTGCACCAAGGTGCTCCCATGTGACAAGTCACAGGGCAACACTAGATGGTGACACCTCCCGCTGGAGCTCACTGCGGAGGCAGTAATTAATCATACATGTAT